AAATTAATATTTTTAGACACTTCATTATAAAGATATGGAAAAGCCTCAGATAGCAGCGCGATACAGTCAAAACCCGCAAACAGATTTGTGCTGTTTTGAAATTTTTCCATACCGTTTACAAAAGTTGGCGGGCGATCGAATATTTGTTCAGGTCTCACAGACCCAGCATTGTGCACGAAAAATTAATCGAGTACAAAATCGTGTTTTTGTCGCTTTGAAATTCTAAATCTCGCCGACATATTCCATGTATCGGGTCACTCTAACTGTCCAATCAATTATCATCGACATCGCGGCGCTTCGAAAAGTCTCATCATTCAGTAAATAGTCGAGGCTATGTTGTAATGGGACAGCGGCGCGAATTAATATCGAGATGAAAACGACCGTCAATGTCTATCCGGTGGACATCGAAGCGTTCGTCACTTCGTCAACTAGCGATCGACCGAATCGAAAGGTGACAACGCGACTACCGTCATCGTACACGTCGATCACGAAGTGCGCGTAACGTCGAGCGCGTCGCGCACGTGTCATTCTCTCTATCTCTCCTTTTCCCTCTCTCTCCTTCTGTAGTCGAATTCGCCACGATTGAGGCCGAATTGTACCGGCAGTTCACATCAACCACGTCCGCGCGCAGCACAGGTCGAGTCTCGCCGCCGTTGCTTCACATTGTGATCCTAATATCCATTATACGTAACTTCCTCGCGGATCACCGTCGTTCCCCTCCGCCCAAAAATACACCTCGACCTCGACCTCGCCTCGACCAGCTTCGACGTCGATTCGCCCACAACGTAGGAATTCGCTCCGAACAAATTTGCGCACGTGCAGTATCTTTCGCCAACCCTTAATATTCAGCACCGTGTATCATCGTGATCGATACTCTTCGAGCGAATTTCCGCCGGTGCGAGAGACCGGGAGAACGAGCCCGAGAAATAAAGACCCTCCGATTATTCGTGACGCTTGCACATGAAGCTCGCGGTAAGCCACCCTCTGAGATCCCTGACAATACTCTCGAAAAGCGGGAAAGAAAATCGAAGATACGGATCCCTCGGAAAAGTCATGGACACGAATGCAAAGGGGAGAGAAAAAGAGAGAGAGAGAGAGAGGGGGGGGAGGAAGAAAGCCGGTGCAAAATTGACGACACCCCGGAGTGCCTCTACCTACTCGTGGCAGTGTCGCGACTCCATTTCGTCAGTAAGCCCCGAAAAACGCGCGACGAGCATGAGCAAACGTACGAGAGCGCGCACACTAAAGTACAGAGAGACAAACAACACACCGTCACAGCATTTACGTGGCGCGCGCGCGCGCGCGTCAGCAACGACGCGTCGTCGAGGAGACGAGGGAGAGCGCGAGCCACGAACAGCACTTCGGCCCGCCGACGTGCGCGGCCGAATAACGACTGGAGACCGGCCGAAGGAAAGAGACACACCACACGTTCGTCTTCTCCGGCTACCAGTCGAGCACTGTCAGGTGTGCGTCCTCTCGACGCGTACACAGCCCGCTCTGACGCGCACCACCACTACTACCACCACCACCGCCACGACGACGACGACGACGACGACGACGGCGACGACGACGACGACGACGGCGGCGGCGGCGGCGGCTGCTGCTCTGCTGCTATTACTACTACTACTATTACTACCATTACTACTACTACTACCGCGGCTGATGGCTGCTGTTGCTATTGCCCCTCTATCTTTCCCTCTCTCTGTCTCTCTCTGCAGCGCATGCAACGCTAGAGTCGGACATGGCGACGACGACGGCACATGGTTTAGAAGGGGAGTTAGACGCGCGCGTTAGCGTTGCCTCGTGGCAGGGTGTCACAAAATCGAGGGGGCAGAAAGAAACGGGAAAAATGGCCGCCACATGTTGAGGAATAGCGCACTTTAGGCTTTCGTCGGTCGTGAAAGAGTGACGGTTGTGACCCGATTAATAGAGTCGTGATTGTTTCCGACGATTTTACAAAGTGGAAACCTCGAATTTTCAGAGTACGGCTTTTTCCCAAAAATATAGAATTTCCTTTATTGATCTACACATTTTTTACTATTGTCATTCGTAAAGTAGCACGTTACGGTAAAATAATCAAATATACCACCCTGAAGATTCTTTTCTCCTTCTTCGTATGTAAGAAAACCTTTTCGTTTGTCTAATCGTGGGAAAATATCCGGGAACGGTTGTGATTCGATGAATGGAGTCGTTTTATCGTCTTTCTGAGAATTTTGTAAGATGAACTTCGTGAGTTGCCACAGTATACTTTTCTTTCAAAAGTATAGATTTTTCCACTTGACCTTCGCATTTTTTACTATTATTCTTCGTAGAGTAGCATTAAGATAAAAATATCAATTTCCGGGCGCGTATCTAATTCTAGACATTTTTATCGGTCTTTAAACGCAAATATTTAAACTTTCAACGTAAGATATATATTTCTTTGTTGAAAGTTCAAAAAATATTCGTATTTAAAAATCTCAAAATAATAAGAATGTCTAAGATCACAGATACATGTTCGGGCATTGAATTGATCAAATATATCGCCTTAGAAATTCTTTCCTTCTTCTTTCTGAATAAAAAGATTTTTCCTTTTCGTTCAAATTATTTCTAATTTTCCGATCCAGCAAAATTGGAGAAACGGCGAGTTTTCCGACTGACTGACCGACTGACATTTCGAAACGTAACGCTTGATTTCGTATGCACGCGCGCGCGTATTTTACGTACCGGTATGCATAATTGGCACACGACATTACGCCGGTAAGAGACTCCGACAGCACGCGGGCTGACCTTGCTCGCGGAAAACCGGCGCGGCATAATTCGCGTGGCGGATGTGCGGCGTCGTTCGCGTTAACGGCGACGTGTTGCGGATTCGCGTGCGCGCGAATTCGCTCTTATCGAGCTCGGGGAGAAGCGCACGAAGGGAAAGCGCGCGCGGCGTGTTTCCTTTTTATCGGAGCGTCTCGCTCCGAGTAATGTCCGCTTGCGCAAATTAACTCGGCGATAGATTTAACCCTTATCCGGCGGAGCTATTTTCGTATCGCGGTCGGTCGGCCGGCAGGCGGCAGGGTGTATCGCACCCTGCGCCTTGAGAGACACGATTCCGATCATTTTGGCGCCACAATTTAATTTCTTTTCTCTCTCTCTCTCTCTCTCTCTCTCTCTCTCTCTCTCTCTCTCTCTCTCTCTCTCTCTGTCTCTCTCTCTTCCTCGAAAGTGAAAACGACGCGAAAAAATCTCGGAACCGCGATCTGGCACGCAGATTCGACGAGGGTTTCGATCGACTTTCGCGCCTTTCGCGCTTGACTCGTGTAAATGATTCGCCTGTTGAATATTAATCAATGCTCACCCCTCTGAATGCTAACACCAATAACTGCTCCAAAGTCTAGTACTTTTATCGCTTGGATATAAAGAATGATACGCGGAGAAAAAAGTTCACATTGACATGTTTGGTTGTAACAAACGAATCAACGCGTTTTGGTTGGAGGAATTTTCTTAGATTCTTAGAATCAAATTTGAATCGTAAAAATCAGAAATTTATTGTTCTTCAATTGAATTGAAACGTGTGTTGGATCGTTCATAATAAAATTAGATTTTACGTTAATACAACCAAAATTTACTCTATATTGTTGCAACTCTAAAACTTGATTTACAATGTGCTCTTTGCTTCCTGTTTCTTTCTTTCTCTCTTTCTGACTTAAACCTTGAATCTTCAGTTAGAAAAAAATGAAGAATAAGAGACGGGAAGCAAAGAGTACATTGTAGACCAGGCTTAAAGCATACAACGCGCGCCATAATGTTCTTCCTCCCACCGTATGATAAAAAATGTTAAAGTAACGTTCCTCATGATCTCGCGAAGCCTCTTATAATGCGAGACTTTGTACAGTAGCTTGTTCGGCTTGCATGCAAATCCGTTCCTCGAATTAATCCCTCAGAGAGCGCCGGAGAAGGTGTATTTTCTCAAATCCCGAAAGTGCCGTTTTAAAAGCAAGTTTTACAGAGTAGCGTTAGAGACGCTCCTTGTCCTTGAGGTGAAGGAACAGGAAAGAGAAAAGCGCGATCCCGGAGACGTTACTGAGCGCTTACGAAAGCTGGAAAATTCAACAACCCACGTCTTGCGACGCGCGCGCGAATCAATTTTCACCTTATCTGTCACGGAAGAGTGATACTTTTTTTTACCTCTTTCCTCTCCCTTTTCTCTCCCGTAATCGCCGAGTGTACGTTCGAGCACGTAGCATACGGCGGGACTGTACGCGCGCGCGGCACACGTGTATTCGCACGCTGTCATACGGTGAGCTGTGCGCGGCACCTCGGTTACAATATGTGCACGTCGCCTCGCGATGAATCGCGCAGGATAAAGGGTGAGAGAGCGAGACACGGTGAGAAAGCGCCAATGGAACAAAGAGGAAAGCCAAGCGCTCTCGCGGCGTGGCGTGGCGTTGGGAGAGGAAATCGCCGGTGCGCGCCGTAATAACACCGCGGCTCGGACTACGCAGTGGCGTACATAGTACGTCGAGGAATTCCCAAGAGCGCCTTGATCCCGGGGTGAAGGCAGGGGAGAGAAAGAAAAGTAAAGAGAAGAACGAAAGCGGGGTGAATGAAAATGGGACGAGGAGGAGGGAAGGTGCGAGCGGGGGTGGAGGAAAGAAGAAAAAGGAAAACGTCATCGCATCGGCTAATTTAATGCTAAATTCCTGTTTTCCATAACACCGGCCGCACCGCACTGCCGTTTATTCAACGGTTGCGTTAATTGCGGCTCGCTTGCATTGTTTTGCAAACATACGCTGTCTCGCGTCGCGCATTAATATATACGACGAACAGTGTGAATTTACGTGAGCAGAGCAACGGGAACGCCGCCCGTTAGATTTAAGTCGTGCATTGAAACACATGAAGGGAGCGTGCGACATGAAGACGGCTCTTCCAAACAGCGTCGTCGTACGAAATTCGGTGTTTCTCACACGGTTAATAAGTAAATGTAGGTAGGAATAAGTAAATGTAAGTAGGGCGTTTTCGAGACTCACCATGCTGATGAGGGGCCGAGAACGCCGAGTGCCTGCGAGGTGACATGTCGGGATGATTGCCTTGGCTACCCGGCGGCTGCATAGAAGACAACGCACCCAGCGGTGTGTAAGACTTGCAAGGCTGTTCTGGCTTTTGCTGAGGAAAACAGAGAAGAAACCACTGCTCAACATCGTAAGGGGACGCGTGTTCGTACTACTCGTCTTCGCGGAATTGTCTGTTGAGAGTTATAGCTTGTATTTCGCGGATGTACAACGTAAGGTGAGCGAATATTCATACGGCGAAAGAGTGAGCACATGTAGTCTCGTATCGTAGAATGGGAATCGTAAAACTCACCTGGTCGTGAAGCTCCGTGGCCACCGCGGTAGCTGCAGTTTGAGTGTGGCTGGTGGAACTGATCCTGTACTGCATACCGGCGATACTGCAGAAGCCCTCGTGATGGGTGGATCGGGTCTGATTGACGTAAACACCTTGAAAAGAATTAATGATCGTGAGAGGGCCGCTGAGAGATAAAAAGGGATTATTCGAATTTTCACACCTAAGCCACGCGTGATTAATTACCGGTGATAGTGACGTCCGTGTCTTGGTTAACGATGACAACCTTCTTGGATGGCTTAATAACCTCCTCCGGATCGGAGCCTTGCCGGGGCTTCTTCTTATCTATGTCGGAGTCGTTTTGTCTACGTCTCTTAATTATCTCTACTTCCGATTCGCTGGAGGAATCACTGCTGCTACCACAACGATTTTTCTCATCGGAGTAGGAAGCAGCCAAAATGGCAGTGGCATTAAGACTGGCCATCCTCTTGCAAACAACCATGTCCTTCAGGTCCATCACCTCCTCGTTCCGCCGCCGCCTCTTGATCATCTTCTTCTTGCTCGGCTCGACGCTCTTCTCCTTCTCGCAGTCCTCGTCCGAGGAGGACGAGGATGACGAACTCTCCATCATATCCCAGTGTTTGCCGCGGAGACCCGGCACGTTCCTCAGTTTCCTCTTCAGCACGTTCTCCTCCGTTTTGCATTCGACCTTCTTCTCCTTCTCTTTACGCGGCGGCGGCTGCTGTTGCTCTTCCTTCTCCTCCTTCATCTTCTTCGGCTTCTCCTTGTCCTTGTCCTTCTCCTTCTCGGGCTTCGGTTTGCAATAACCGCCGAGATAAACCCCACCGGTTTCGTTTTCGTAGAGGCAGTGAACTTTAGCCAAGGCATTCAATGACGCGACCCTGTGTCGTTTTGGTCCGCTCCAGAAGCCAAAAAGTCGCATTCGTCGCGCGCGCTCGTCCGACGGCGAGTTAGCCCTCTCTTTGCTCTTCGCGTCTCCCCGCTGCTTGCCCTTCTTGCACTCGTCGTCAGAATCGCCCTCGAAGTCGGATTGAGATGTGACGCCGCTGGCGCTCTCGCCGCCATTCATCGCCTCGATCTTTAGATCCAATTCCATCGTATTCTCGGTGCCGATCTGCTCCAGCTTAGAATTCACGGTGGACTTGGCACTGTCCTCGTGCAGCTTGGACTGCTTGTTGAACTCCTCGGAGGGTCCGTCCTCGGACGCGGCCGATGTTTGATTATTGCTCTCCGTTTGTACCTTCGTTGTCTTGCCGTTCTTCTTCGGTGGCTTACCGCTGATTTTGCCGCCGCTTTTGATAGCTTTCTTATTATCCTGCAACTTGGTCGCGCAAGTGCCCTCCTCTTTACTCTTGTCCGGATCCTTGTCCTCCTCAATCTCACTCTTGATGCTGCTCATTTCCGGTCCTTGGCAAGTCTCGTCCTTACTGACGATCTTCTTGTGCTCGGCCGAGACTTGATCGAACTCCTTCAGTTCCATCTTTCTCCTGGCCATGATTTTCTCCGTAATGCTCTTCAGCTTGTCCTCCTTCTTCAGAACGGTGCTGATCTTGGAGTGTTTCGGAGGTAACTTAGCTTTCATATGCTTGGTCAGCTTCGATTTCTTCTCCTGCAGAACTTTACCCTTGGCGATGTTGCCGGCGCTCTTCTTCTTCGTCTTCTTCGTCGTCGTGTCCTCGTTCTCGCTCACCTCCTCGTCCTTCATCGGCTTAATCAGCTTGATCTTCTTATCCACCAGCTTCTTGACCACCGATAAGTGAGGCTTCTTCGTCAAAACTGTTTTTCTCGCAATACCACTCTTCTTCTGGCCTTGCTTCGCTTTCGGATCTTTCTTCGCTTTAGCGGTGCTGATTTTATTGCTCGCCGAGTCTTTCTCCGGGACCTTTTTGCGATCGGATTTCTTGTCCTTGGCCGTAGAATTCTTTGATATTGACTTGACATCAGATTTGACCGGCTTAACATCCTTCTTCTTTTCATCTTTGCTCCTTTTCTTGGAGGAAGGGGAGAGAGCATCGTTCTTATCTTCAAGCGCATCCTTATCTTCCGTCGTGTTTAGAGATTTCGAGTTATCTTCCGCTTCGTCCAATTTCACGTTCTTCTTCTTATCGTCCGTTTTCTCAATTTTCTTCTTGTTATCGACAGATTGCTTTTCCAATTTCATTTTCTCCTCACACTTTTGCAACTTTTTCTTGTCCACGCTCTCATGACCGGTCTCTTCGTTGATCACCTTGTCGTCTACCTTCCTCTCGTCAATTTTGTCGGACTTTTTCTCACAATCCCTTAACTGTTTCTTCTTTTCATCCTGCTTCTCGGATCGTTCCTTCTTCTTGTCCTCTATCTTCTTCTTGTCGTCGAGTCTCTTTTTCTCCTCTGCCTTCTCCAACTTCTTCTTCTCATTCTCGACCTTCCTCTTTGGATCTTCCAGTTTGTCATTTTTCTTCGATTTCTTCTCCTTTCTCACATCGGGCATAGTCTTCTCTGTAGGTGTGCGACGTTTCTTGGCGACTGTTGGCATTTTCGTTGCCTTTTTGGCAACAACAGCCTTCTTCTGTGGCTTCATTATGGTTGTGTTCTTTACATCTTCAATAGGATAAAAATACGCTTGAAGTTCACGAGTGTCTAACGTTAATTTCCACAACTACCTAACTGCCATTGTAGATTTTAATTAACGCGATACGGCTCGCTAGCTGGATCTATCTGTAAAGAATTCCAATGAACACATAAAAAGGCACGAGCTAGAGAGAGAAGATCATTAAATCACAATTTCAACGCACGAACACAGAGAAAAAAAAGTTCCATTTTATTAGCAATTATCTCTCGTATTTTTTCGTAGCAACAATGCGCAGCAACAAACGTTATTCGCGAAAAAACGAGCGCGATCAAGTACGTTAGACGCGGAATTCACGGAGACGTGCGTTTTATACGCGCGTAATACGACGAATTAAACACATTACAACGGCGAATGCACGCGAAACGGAGCGAAATACGCAAGGAACGCGCGCGCGATAATAATAACAATAATAATATTACTACTCGGCAAGTGGAGCGAGAATCCAATGTACCGGACACACGGCGCGAACTCTCATCGACTTGTTGACAAATCGATCCCTTTAAATCTCCCATGCGCTCGTGTCGTCGTAAAGCTCTCACGACAGCTAAAAGGGACTCGCGCTCGCGATAAATAATCAACCGCGCGACGGCGGCAGTGGCGACTACGACTACGACGACGACGACGACGACGACGACGGCGGCGGCAGCGGCGGCCTCCGCCACCTCTGTACTCTCCTCGAGCGTGCGCTCGGATTCGCGTACGCGACGACACGACACGATACGACACGACGGCAACGACGACGACGACGACGACAACGGACAAAGATGCTCTCGAGCGAGACGCACGGCCGAGAGGCACAGACCCGTTAGCGCGACAAAGAACGATGACATGAAGAACGGAGAGTAAGAGAGAGAGAGAGAGAGAAAGAGATAGAGAAAGACACAGAGAGAGCGAGACGGAGAAACGCGACAGCAGCACGCCCTTTAAAAAGCGACCGCGGACGGACGGCCACAAGTGGCCCTGACAAGTGTGCGCGAGAGGGACCACAACCTGCTGATCGATCAATCGTAGCACGTAGCACGCGGAATATCCGCCGCGGACGGGAGGATCGCGCGTGTCGAGAGACGATCTCGCGGCCTACGGGCGGCGAGAGCAAGGCGTATATACACACACAACGCTCAGGAAAGCGAAGAAAGACAGATAGAGAGAGAGAAAACGAGCGGAACGCGGGAACGAACGGGTGATAACGGCAGGCAGGGGCGCTAGTAACGAGATAGTGTTTACCTCTCGGCGAGCCCTTCCGTCCGTCCGCACGTCCGCCACTCTCGGATACGCGAGAACGCTTTTTTAAACGGCGAATCGGGCCACCGTGCGACGATCGACGACGACGGCGACGACGGCGACGGCGGCTCCAGTCCTCGACTCCGAGTCCCGGTGCGGTTTCCCGTAGGGACGCGCGATCGCGAGCGCCCACGACGACGAGAGGCCTTCCTACGCGGATGTTCCACGGCCCTTTTTTCGCGCGGTCTATCGCGAAACTGGCAATCTCGTGTCGCGCAGCGCGCACCTCGCACGACGTCCCTGCCCTTTTACCGTAGCCTCGTCGGCCATTTTCTTCCTCGCGCCGCTCCCCCACTCCTGCCGCGAAAGCCCCCTGTCACGTAGCGCCGAAAGCATGGTTTCACCAGTGTCGTCAGATGCCGACACCTCGCGGTCGTGTATCAACGACGAGGCGCGCGAATTTCGGATAAACGCTCGGTCGGTCGCCGACGGCGGAATCGAGACACGCGATCGCGAAATCGCGAGCGGAGTGTGTTTTCGCGCGAATTCTGTCTTAGATTATACGCACGCTTTTTCTTCCTTCCCCTCTTTCTCATTATCTCTGATATTCAAATCAAATTAGTTTAGGCTTTCTCACACAGCAGGAATGTCTCAAATACATCATAGAGATATCTTGAAGATATCACATGTCCCAAATATATCTTTAGGATATCTCTATGATATATTTTGGACACTTCTGCTGTGTGGGTTTGCATCTTAGAAACTTATTTTCAACTCTTATCAATAAAAGTATTTCTAAAACTTTCTAGAAGCTTATCAGTCAATCAGAACGTTTACACTTTTGGGAGCTCTCTTATCAATAAAAAATAACAAGGATCTTTATGTTTATGCGAATAAACATGATTCGATATGCAGAATGTCTCTGTCTAGATCACTTACACGATTGTTCCTTCAACAAATCGGAAGAGGACGCAGCGACTTCGACTCTGAGCCTCCTTCCTTCCTCCTTCAATAAGCGGCCGAGAACGCCCGGGTGTAACCCAGCAAACTCGAGCTTCCATTGACGCAACGAACAAACCGCACTTTACTCCGCGCACTAGAAACGATTGCCGTTCCGCTGAATGTTCGCTCACTCGGCAACTTCGCGGCTCCTCGTCGAGACGAACGAACGCGCGAAATTGACGGCACTTCCGACGACGATGAGTTACGCACGAGACGTGTCTTCGATGCGTTAGGATCGCGAGAAACGCGGGACGGCTTCTGGAGTACGTAATACCGCGCCGCGATGCGACCCGGAAGTGACCACCATGTTGTGACGATTGCGATTCTCGAAGTACCAATTCGCGCGGCACTTCACTCGATACTCTTAACGGTTGTCTCCGCGACACTCGTCTTCGATGACATTTTAAGGATACTTCGTCACGACGAAGACGTAGGAGTTACCTTCGACACCCACGGTGATTAATCACGCGCCAGGTTCGTCTCGGCGACTCGGAAATCCGAGAGAGGCAGAGACGTCGGCTTCGAAGCATAACCTGACGAGCCCGCGGCACCTTGTCCGACATTCCCGACCGCGAGCTGCTCGTTATCGGCGATCACCTCACGACATCTTATCGTACAAACGCGCGACACTTGTTTCCGATATTCTTGATGGTAACACGCGCGCGAAGCTTACCCTTGACGAGCCGAGAGACCGCGAGACCGCGAGAAACACGAGACAACTTTTCAAATACGAACGACCGCGCCGCGATCCGTGCCGTAACTGACTGAACATCGTGGAGATTGATACTCAGAAAACGCAGCGCGCCGACGCCACTCGCGCTGACCAATCACAACACGCATTCGCATCTTCAAAATTGGCAGCTTAAACACGTGTAATGTTCGAGATAGTTATAATGTCGAAAATGTTCACGATCTTACTACGAGAAATGCGCAAAATTTACCTTCCTTCCTTTCTTGGCAAGTCGATGCTGTGATCACCATAACCTCCACAACACAACAAAATAGTGACGCTTTAGACAGCATTCCCGGGTCTTGCCGTGGCGATTCGACGATACTTTGCCACGACTAACGTACTAGATATATTTTCGGCACGTCCGAAACGCGAGATTCGCCTTTGGCGAATCAAAATCGCGGAAGATACGAAGCAATTTGTCGAATACATCTCACCGCTTCATTGCCCGTTCCGTAACTGGCTGTACATTGCGACGATTGAGTTTCTCGAATGGCCGGTTCGATACAATCGATAATCAATCTGAGACACTAATGATTCATAAACCTGATATATCCATAATAATTATGAAAATGCATTTTTTACAAAAATGTGAAATGTTTGTGCATTGTAAATTTGTATGCATAAAATTTGATAAATACCTTAAGCCAGCGGCACACGATACTTGTTTTCGTGCTGGATTGCTTGCTGGATGGAAATACTCTATTCTAATTGGTCCGTCTTCAGAAATGCAGCAATCAGAACAGAGTATTTCCATCCATCAAGCAATCCAGCATGAAAACAAACATCGTGTGCCGCTGGCTTTAGATCCTGCTTTCAATTGGTCCTAGCTAGTGCCATATTTGTCTCTAAGGGCCCTTGCAGAATGCCAGGCAACAGGCAATAGGAACAGAGAATAGAAATTCTGATTGGTCAATTATTTCTATTCCTTGTTCCTATTGGCTATTGTCTGTTCCTATTGCCTGTTGCCTGGCATTCTGCAAAGGCCCTAAGAGACGCGACACAAATTTTCCTGTTGGTCAACATGCTTCATTGTATTTTCCCGTTTAAGGTTATATGCCGTGTCTAGGTTATGTGTAGTAGGATTCCAGCAGGACGGTGCATGAATTTTGTTGTTTATTCTCGAAGTAACGATGGAATGCATAGTAGCAAATGTGGACAACATGCAGTTTGACATTGAAACTGCACTCGACGAACAGTACGGGGCTCTTCCGTTACCCTTCACTGGGATGGACAGTATGCATTTTCGTTATATTTTAATACGCACGTTTGTAGTTATATGTTAACTTCATACAACACTATCACGTATTTACTTACAACTTCTGATTTAATTTACTCGCAAACAAGCTTGTGTTTTGTACGAAACAGCAATCAATTGTTTAGTCACAATAGCTTTCTTTTTTCTATTTTCAGAGTCGATTGCCGCAGTGTGTCAATTTTATCCCAGAGGCACTTGCGTTAAGGGAGCTTCGTGTCCATTCAGACACGTACGTGGTGACCGCACAATAGTTTGCAAACATTGGCTGAGAGGTCTTTGTAAAAAGGGTGATCAATGTGAATTCTTGCACGAATACGACATGACAAAAATGCCAGAGTGTTATTTTTATTCCAGATTCAGTGAGTACTTTGATACTACAATGATCAGATATTACAATCAGATTATTTCCTTCTGCTGAATGCTCTACATCATAGCTCAGTGTGATAATCTTTTATCATATGATGTAGAAAGTGTTCTGTGTATCCAAATTATGTATAACTTGTAGCTAAATTATACATAAGGTGAAATGTTTCAGATGCATGCCACAATAAAGAATGTCCATTTTTACACATTGACCCTGAGACTAAAGTCAGAGATTGCCCATGGTACGACCGTGGTTTCTGTAGGCATGGTCCCTTGTGTCGACATCGTCATGTCAGACGAGTTCTCTGCATGGCTTACTTGGCTGGTTTTTGTCCAGAAGGACCAAATTGCAAGTTCATGCAGTAAGTTAATATATATGTACAAAGTAAACAGATATAGTGCATAAATCTTGTGGTACTTTTTTGGACGTCTGTGCAATACAATGATATATTTCTGCTTGCAAATTACTTTTATACATCTTGTATTTAGAAATTTAATAACTGTTAGCCTCTTAATGCTCAATCTCGTGCATAGACTTTCGCAATCTTGCTAAATTCACGTATTTATAATTTATTCAAAAAAAGTAACGCAACCTTTATACAAATAATTTTATACATATTGTATATTATGTGGAAACTTATTTCCATCTTAATATTGTATTACTGCTTTTTTCACAGTCCAAGATTCGAATTGCCAGCGGTGCAGGACATGCAACCAAAGGAAGGCAAGAAGGTGATGATTACTTGTCACTTTTGTGGCGAGGGTGGTCACAAGGCGATCTATTGCAACAAAATGCCGCCCGACGTACGAGAGGCTCAAGTCAGACAAGAGATTGAGAATAACTCTCACGCGTCGCATCATCATATGAGTATGCACAACGGACCACCGTCTCAGCGAGGCCCACAGAAACCTTTGGAGGAAGTAACATGTTACAAATGTGGTCAAAAGGGCCATTACGCCAACAAGTGTCCGAAAGGTCATTTAGCTTTCCTGAGTCACGTGGGTGGCACAGGCGGTGGACAGAATCCGAATTACCGGAGATGATTCTCGTTCGTTTTTTATTATATGTATAATATGGACATTGTAATGATATTTCATCTCACTACCATCGTTAATTGTAAAAATTCCCCTATGCTTCGTATAATAAACTAAATTTATCGTATCAGACGCGCGTCGGTTCGTCACGATGTTACGTAGATAACAATCGTTACGATACTTCCATGTTTCTAGTTTCGAGAATAATGGATTAAATTTGGGTCTATCATAGGTGTAGTATGCTTTTGGCTTTATACTTATAAGGGCTTATCATTTCTGGCAAAAAGCGTTTTCCGCATTACCTTAATAGTTGGAATCTGGCCAACTCGCTTAAAACTTAAGAATTATGACTTCAGAATGCAGTGGAAAACGTTTTTAGCTGAAAATAGTGCTATAATTTTGAACTTAGAGCATAGAGCTTACTGCACCTACTGTGGACTCGGACCAAGTGAAATAAACGAAAAGGTGATAGAAGAAAGAAGTTCGCGTACAAGTAGGTACTTTAATACTAAATTTGTCGTATTATTATAAACAAAATACTATAACAAATTATAGTATTAATTGTTACGCTATAATTATAATTACAGTATTTATTGTTCTATAAATGGTTGTATGTTTAAGTAATTATTACGGTATCGTGGTGATACAGTTTGTTTCTTTCTTCTTTTTTTTTATCTATGTGTCAAAATGCGTCTCGACTATTGCTACGTCGGCGTCTGATATAGGAAGTTATAAAAAGATATATTTATATGTAACATATCGGTTAGTTACTGGATAAAATCTGTAAAACCTCTCGGGAAGACGAACGCTTCGCCGCAGTCAGGATTAACATTTCGATTGGCTCCCGAAATCTTATTAACTGAATTAACTGTGTTATATATATATATACAGGATGTCCCGCGTAAGACGTACGAAAAGAAAAATATAAGTAGAATACATAAAAGTGAACAAAAATTGTATAGGTCATTTTTCAAACAACCACGTAAAATTTCGAGATATTAATTAAAATAGTTGGGCATATCAGAACGCGGCGACACGGCAGGCGGGACACGGCTCGCCGCGGCCGGCGAAAAAAATGGACAATTGCTCGCGGGCCTATCTTATAAGCCAGAGAAGTGGACCGTTTGGCATACTGAAATGAGTAGCTCCGTGTGTGCGTTCTTCTATTTTCTTTGCCGGCCGCGGCGAGCCGTATGTCCCGCCTGTCGCGTCACCGCGCTCTGATATGTCGAACTATTTTAATTAATATCTCGAAATTTTATGTGGTTGTTTGAAAAATGACTTATACAATTTTTGTTCATTTTTATGTGTTCTACTTATATTTTTCTTTTCGTACGTCTTACGCGAGACACCCTGTATATACTTCTCGAGGATTAGACAGTGGAAGGCGCGAGACGTTATAGGGACGTGCATTTTAACCGCACGCGCGCGCCAGAGACTCTAAGCGTGTCTCCGAAAACACCTAGCCGGTCGAGATGTTCGGCGCGTTGCGGAAAACATTATCTAATCGTTCGGGATTACTGGTGTACGTCGCGTGTAGTTCAGCGTGGTTTATACCTAGAAACGTAGCGGCACTCGCCGTCGGAAATGCGTCGTTTAACGGTTTTTACATGCAAGCAGTTTTATGTGGGCAGAGAAAACAGGAAAACAACGATCTCAATCAAATCTCCCCTTCGAACAATACGCTTATCATGTCGTGTTATGATAGTCGATAACTTCGACGTAATTAGCGGGAAAGAGTCCGTAAGTGCCATCGGGACCGAGCCCTTGCCACCAGCCCTCGTCGATGGCGTCTATGTGCGTGATTATGTCGCCCGGATCGAAGGTAATCTCTGTGTCGTCCGCGGCTTGATAATCGTACAACGCTCTGGCCTTCATACCCTCGTTATTCGGATCAAAGTATAAATATGGCCCGTCCAACGTACTATACAACTCATTCTCGGTGACTTCCTCCTTGGTCTCGGCGGTCTGGGTAGGTTCCGCTTGTGAATTAGTCGCTTTTGTCTCTTGGCTAGTAACGTTTTGCGACAGAGGCACTGATGAAGAAGTCATTACTGTCTCTACGCTCGCAGGTTTCTTCACTTCGGTCAGCGTTTCCTCGCGAGACTTCGCGTCTGAAGACTGTTGTTCCTTTATCTGAGCATCCTCCAGTGCTTTTCTCACGGACTCAACGTGATTATTCTTGGGCAGAAATTGCTGTTGGACCGACGTCGTCTTCATCTGACCGGCCGCCGAGTTCTGTTCGAACACAGCTCTGGCGTTTATCGTCCTCTGGGCGATCAACTGTTGCGTCTCCTTGCTCCTCTGCCTTCGGAGCTCTTCGCTTCGTAATTTATGATCGTCCTCCACGTCGTTGCTGTAGTTCTGGCTCGTGGCCAATTGATTACGTAAATTGTTCGCCTCCTCAGCACGTTGCTCCGCCAGTTTTTGTCGTGCAATTGTGTTTTCCTTGGCGGTTACCTGAGACAGATAGAGATTTTTGGTAGGTTCACATAATATTCAAAATAAATGAAACATATGATATACGAGATAAGAACCGCGATATACCTGCTGTTCTCTCAGTTGCGTCTCCTTCTCCTCCCGAGTCCTAATTTCCCGTTCTAGCCTCTGTCGCTCCTGTTCACAACGAACTCGTTCTTGCTCCAGTCTCTTTTTCTCCTCCATCTCTTCCTTTTGCCAAAACTGGTCTCTTTCCGTTGCATTTATCTCCTGTTCAGGGATCACTCTGCAAAGTGCACAAAATTCATCACAGTTAATTTAGACCGCTATTATGTATTTATATATCTGTACAACTGTGTTCAAACTTTAGATATTAAATAGATTTCTCCTTCTATAGCAAAAGTATATACCTGCGATATGTTGTTCCAATAGGACCTGTATGTCCTTCATTATCGCCACGAGGCTCATTAAATTTGTACGCAGAAGCTGTCGCACGTGCGAGTTTTTCCATTATCGCGTCTACCTCCACATCATCTTCAGAACGCGCTGTAATTGTTATATGCGCGCCTTTCAATAATTTCTCTACATCTCTGATATGATTTGCGCATGTTCCTTTCCTAACAATTGGAGCACCTTCTCCTTGCTGTAGAGAAATGTTTATTATGTAGACACAGAAATCTCTCTTTCTCTCTTCTTTCTACATAAACCTAATTTTTCAATTTTTCCATATATTGCAAAAATTAGATGCAAGAATCTCTTTTCTCTCTACATAAATCTATTTTTTAAATATCTTTATATATCACAAAAATTCTATGTTACTGTTAAACATATTATCTCATTGAAAAATATTAGACAAATATTAAAGTCTTGATTTTACTGCTTATATTTATGTTACTTGTACCTACCCAATTAATGAGCAAACACTTTGGTAGACTGGTTTTAGTGTCGATAACTTTGCAGAATGCATACATAATGTAACTACTGCTCAATCGATCGATCATCTCTTCCAGTCCTCCATCTCCTGTTCCAATTACTTTTAAGTTATTTGTCTGTCCTTCATATCCGAACACAGCCCTGACATAGAATAAAGAAACATAAAGCCTGTTCTTCTTAACTAAACTGCTTGTACAAATTAGAGTGAAACAAATTATGTTTCGCTCTAACTTAGTGTGTACTAGTTAAAGTAAAAATAGAGTCCAAATCCAAGATTAAAGCTTGAAGAGAATGTTGAGAAAATTGATAAAAAGTATAGAATATTTATCTGAAAAGGACACAAAGATAGTGACAATAAGCCACGGTCGTTTAGATAGGCTGATAAGGACGGAAGTGCATATCGCCGGCTCGTTATTTACGTGAAACAACGCAGTTCACAAGTTGCGCGTACGAACGGCTCGATTTAACGTCGTAAGTTCAATACCGGTGGAAAGGAACCGGTTGATCTAACGATCATGTGCGCGTATATACGCGTGCCGAAAGTGCTTCTCGACGTGGACACGCCAGACCGAAAAACGAACTTAAGTATACGCCTACCAGTTAGTAGACAACTTATCGTCGATCACGCTGTGCCAGGCGGCCACTAAGGCATCTTTGTTTTTCGTCAGATTAATTGACATGTTTCTCGCGATTAGTTCATAACAAGGTCGGCCGTATTATTATCGACAACGGCGGAGAGGCGACCGATCGTGCGGCCGCAGAGTCAGCGAACGTCACACGCGCATCGCCTCTACAAGAAATGTCAACGCCCTACCCGTTGCCAACTGCTCGAGCCGAAATTCCTCCGATCCAGCAATCGTGTCAACTCATTGGTCCTCGCGGAGGAACTTGTCGCTAGAATTTCCAGTTACAAATAGGTCGAGTTTTTTAATTCATCGATGGATCCATCGCATGATGTGCAAATGCAGCATTTCGCTGTATTTACACATCATGCGATGGATTCATCGATGAATTAAAAAAGTCGCCTATAGCCACAGATGTCTATATGATGGCTGCGTTCGGAAACACACACTGCGTTGTGTGCACAATACCAGACGATAGCCATTGGAGTGAGCGAAATACAAGAGTGAGATAAAAAGAGAGGGAGAGTACTCGAGTGACGTTTCCGAACGCAGCCTAGGCTACGGGTGTACTAGAAGCGCTATAATATATGTAACATATACTATAATGTTTCTAATAACAGAGTGCACCCGTGTATCCCTAAGGGATTCCTTATCCGGGTGCACTCTATTACTAGAAACACTATAGTATATGTCACATATACTATAGCACTTCCAGTAATAGAATACACCCGGGTGGGAAATCCGAACGCAGCCTAAACTAGATTGCTAATGCAGGATTCACACCACGTCCGATGTCCGACGTACGACGTCCAATATCCAATAGGAGAACAGCTTTCTAATATAGAATTCAATTCTCCATTGGAAAGCTATTCTTTTATTGGATATCGGACGTCGTACATCGGACATCGGACGCGGTGTGAATTCTGCATAAGTTTAGTAACCTACGAAAATGTTTCGCGCGCGAATCATCACGAAAAAATACACTCGCATGTCACGAACTATAAACCTCTCAACAGTTCGTGCTCTTAGCGGTTTGTTGCCGCGACAATTTATTTACTATGTGTTTAGCGTAATAAGTAATCATAAGTTAGCCGGTAGTACAAAATTACGGTTACAGTGGTTATCGACAAGTTTATCATTATGGTAAGTTGCAGTATAAAAAAATAATATGCGATATAAATATATATATCCAAATCTCATTCTTAGAGTCCAAAGTTCTCAGTCTACCATAAACGTATATATTTTCTATTTCAGTTATTCTATTCCTTTTTCAAGTCCTTAATTGGCAAAGATGTGGTTGTCGAGTTGAAAAATGACCTCAGGTGAGACATCGCGCAATCATCAAGTATAATTTCAAATGACAACTTAGATTGTTCAGTCAATACTGAATATTTTTGTGATTGATCTTTTGTTTCAGTATTTGCGGCACATTACATTCCGTCGACCAGTACCTAAATATAAAGTTGACCGATATCAGCGTAACAGATACAGATAAATATCCTCATATGGTGTGTACAAAGTTAGCAGTGGTCATGTCTTCTGTATAAGTAACAATCGAGTAATATTTCAAATATTGCAGCTGTCTGTAAAAAATTGTTTCATTCGTGGGTCTGTGGTGAGGTATGTACAACTTCCAGGAGATGAGGTGGATACTCAGCTCTTACAGGATGCAGCACGCAAGGAAGCGGCAGTTCAAACAAGATAACTTATGATTTTATACTTAAATCTATCATTTGTTTACCAATGATCTATCTTTCACATTGCCAAATATAACTTACATATAGCACAGAAATTATAAATCAATGAAATTAATTAATACATAAAGGATGTACGAAAAGGCGTGTAGTTTGAAAGTACTTTGGAATATAATGATGCATTGTTCTTTAATATAGAACTTTATTTAACTGTGTGTATAACAGATAAAAAGTTTCTAACCAATATTACATATGTGTCAAATGTTTTCTCAAAAATGTTTTTCTTGACAATAAAATATATAATAAGAAATGTGATGTTTAGTATATATAGTCTAATATAGAAATATTACAGAAATTGTTCATCTGTTTGTTCATGTTAAACTCTATATAGGAATGATTAGTAGACTAATGTTTTTCTACTGCTTTTGCTCATTGCGTTTGTTACTTCCACTGCGACAGTGTCTTGTCGAACCAGATGTACTTTCCCTTTATCTCTGTATTCTCTGGTAATAAGGCACAATAAACAGGAGCAGCGGCACCTTGCTCAATTGTCAAGTGGCCTTTGTGGCTGGTCATATCGGTGTCTACATAACCGGGATGCACCGCATTTACCGCGATGTCCTCCCGTGGATCCGTATTAAATATGGCCTGCTGAATACCGGCCAGAGCGGACACTCCGATCTTGCTTGCGACATATGCTGAATTTGACCAACCAGCTTGTAAATGAGTGCCAGCCTTGGCGGCGCTGGAAATAAAAATGCACACGAATATGATTTTGGAGATACTCTTGAATTGTAAAATATTCTAAGATCGTATGGTTTAGTGCAATCTACAAGTCTCAGTGCTCTTTGTTTCTTGTTTCTCTCTATCTTAAGCCTTCCCACAGATCTATAATATGCTCTTTATTTCCAGTTTCTTCCTTTTTATTTTTTTCTGATATGAACTCTAAAGCCTAATCTGCAATATGTTCTTTGCGTTCTGTTTCTTGATTTCTATCTTTTTTTAGCTAAAAGCTTTAGTTTTAAATCAGAAAGAAGTAAAGAGAAAAAACAGAAAACAAAGAACACATTGTAAATCTGGGCTTAAACCAGGAAAAGACAGAACAAGAAACAGGAAGCAAAGAGCACATTATACATTAGACTTTAACATTATATAGCTTACTTGACAAATTCACGCATAATGTTATCCAATTCCTCTTCAGTCAAGTTTGGATCAGCTATCTTCTTCTTTAATTTATCACCAGTAATATTGCTCAGACGCCCAGCGCTACTGGAAATATGAACCACTCGGGCATGTGGTCTGAGCAATGGAAAGAGTTCAGTACATACTCTACGCAAGCTGAAGTAATTCACTCTTATTGTCTCTTCAGCTTGGACTTTGAAAGATTCCGTAGCATCAACCTGTGAAAAGAAAGTTGTTGAATTTTAGATCCTTATTCTGAGCTTTCTTTTATCAATAACAATGTTTCTAACTAAATGTCCAATCAGAAGAATTATGAGACATATCTTATGAAAAGTATTGTTATTCATGAAAGTTCAGAATGAAAACCTTAATATATATATATATAAATTAATATTCTATATTCATAGAACATTTTAAAATAAATTATACTATATAATTATATTATACTATTTAATTATATTATACTTTAAGATAATATTATATGATAAAATTGTATTATATTATACGTTATATTAAAATAAAATTATATCCTAATGTTTATTAACACATTGCGTAATTTTATGTAATATAATATTATGATTAGCAAGCTATATGTGCGCAATATGTTAAACTTCCTAATAGAATTATGGAAGAGAAAAATTATTTATCGTATCGTGAATATTGCAAATGTTTAATTACCTTAAACGCTATTGCAGCGTTGTTAACCAACACATCAAGACCGTCATATGTGTCCTTCAGATAGTTGCGAAATTTCGTAACGCTCGCGTCATCGTTGACATCGAGTTGATGGAATTTCGGTTTCAAACCTTGATCTTCTAGCTCGCTGACGGCAGTCAAACCGCGATTCGTATCGCGAGCTGTCAGATAAACATTACCGTCGAATTTTTCGCAAAGAGCCTTGACGATAGCAAAGCCAATACCTTTGTTTCCTCCAGTTACCTACATGCAAATCATATACAGTTACATGATGATTAATGACAATTTGTAATAACGTAAGTTGCCTTAAGATCTAGAATAATTGACGATAGAAATACAATATTCATGATTATTAATTATTCCTGCATTTTTTAGCGTAATTAAATGCGTACCACAGCCACGCGATTCGTCATGTTGAGTAATATGTAATACAGCGGTGCAAATTGATAACTGTTGTCGACTGACTAGTTGCTATTTTTCTTTTTGCTTCTCTTGAACTTGGATACGTCTATATTACGTTTCAAGTCAGGCCGCCTGAACTACACTTTCTAGCTGTGTTCCGAAATTCACTGTCTGAAAATCTATAGTATACGTGACATGAACTATAGGTTTTTAATACTGGAAGTGAATATTAGATCATAGCCTAGGACTGCGTTCGGAAACGTCACCCAAGTGTACGTTGGAGTGAGCGAAATACAAGAGTGAGATAAAAAGAGAGAAAGAGTACTCGAGTGACGTTTTCGAACGCAACCAAGAGGTCTGTTTTTATTGCTGAACTGGCTGCACTCTCTCATCTTTCTTCCACCAAGTTTTATCTGTATATCTGTCTCTTTTTAAATTCCGAAAGTGCACACTAGTTGACACTAGTTCAAACAAACACATCGCAAAGTAGTAGTGTCAAATCGTGAGAAAGCAAGGTGCACATAAAATAATTTCGATAATTTACCAACGTCGACGACACCTTTCAAACAGCAACAATGCACGACGCTTACGAGGAAATGTCTGTATTAAATATCACCGTGCAAATCGAGTCTATGGCTGCATATGGTGAGTCTGTCATGTTTAACCTTTAGCTGGTGTGACTGTACATGACAGATAATTAGATTATTATTAGGAAATATTCTTGTCGAATGATTAAATTCTTATCTTCTTATTCTTCATCGTATTGTCTTTCAGATGACAATCTATTAATAGGCACTAGAGAGGGTCATCTTCTTATGTACAATGTACCGTCAGTGTTTGATGGTAGCCACAAGCTGGAGCTATTACGACATAGTAAAAATTTTAATAAAAAACGTATCAATCAGCTAGACGTAGTGCCAGAATACAATCTATTGGTCATCCTGACAGGTGTGTCTGAGCATTATGTTACAATGTGCTGATTTATTCAGCAACATGCTGTCCATCATGCATCAATCTAATTATGGAGAATTGCAGATAACATTGTATGCATTCACGACTTAAATTCGCCAAATTTCCAACAAATATGTCAACTACAAAAGACCAGAGGTGCTACTCTCTTTACCTTGGATGTCCTGTCCACTCAGAGTCTGACAGGTGAAAAGAACACTGTAGTGCGCTTGTGTGTTGCTGTCAAGCGTAAATTACAATTGTATTACTGGAAGGGAAAGAAATTTGAGGAATTTAAAAATTTTGAGATGACTGTACCAGATATACCACGACAGTTGTCATGGTATTGTATATTAAGACAAGCTATTAAAATTTGACTTTGATGCATAATATCTTTGAGATAATATAGCAAACAGTCGAATTTCAATTCTTTAGGTGCGGTGAAACTTTGATATTAGGATTTCGTGGATTGTCCTACACTATTTTCGATTTAAATGGCAAAGCTAAAGAACTCTTTCCCACTGGTAAGTCTCCAGAGCCAAGTATTACAAAATTATCGGATAATTCGTTCGTACTGGGAAAGGATTCTCAGTCGTTTATTATGGACACCAAAGGAGAGCTGGTCCAGCACAACCCTGTGAAATGGTCTGACACACCTGGCGTGATAGGTACGATATAGGCTTTATTATTGTTCCCTTGTATGACTGCAATACTATCAATTTTTCATTGCGTGTTCCAGCGTGGGACGAACCTTATCTGCTCGGTATCGTGCACGACAAATTGGAGGTGTACACGTTGGAGGGATGTCTACACATTCAAACGATAAAGGACCTGAATAAAGCTAGACTCATATTTCGATGTAAACAAGGAAAGGTTTTCGTAGCATCCATCAGTCAGATTTGGTGCATCAAAGCAATCGACGTTACCTTACAGATTAGGACTCTACTGGAACAAAATCAATTTCAGTTGGCATTGAAATTAACCGTACGTTAATTGCGTGTATCATATCATCGATGTGGGTGATAATTCGCGTCCTGTTATTAATTGTTATATGTTCCAGGGTTTGTCAGACATAACGGAAGAAGAGAAATCCAAACAAATCTACAAAATACAAACGTTATACGCGCATCATCTGTTCTATAACAAGCGATTTCAAGAGGCGATGGACTTGTTTTTGAAGTTGGGAACTGATCCGTATGAGGTGATCAGGTTGTTCCCGGACTTGGTTACACCGTCGACCAATACACACGAGCTCAGTGATCCGGCACCGAGCTTGCCGAAATTGCAGGATCACGATTTGGAGAAGGGTTTACGCGCTCTGATAGTTTTCCTGACTGAAGTCAGGCATAAGCTGATGGCGAAGGACAAGGAGCTGAGTAAAGAAAAGAACGGATTAAATGGAGAAAAAAATATCACTGCTGTGGCTACAGAGCAGCTTTTGAAGATTATAGATACTACTCTATTGAAATGCTATTTGCAGGTGAAGCAAATCGAATACTTGCATGCATTCAAAAAATATATCTCACGATAAACGATAGATTATTCGAGGTGAACGTTCAACATGCTTCGTTTCAGACCACCGATGCTTTGGTAGCGCCTCTACTCAGACTGAATCACTGTCATTTGGCAGAGGCTGAGAAAACCCTGTTGATGCATCAGAAATATCCAGAGCTCATTATATTGTATCAAACTAAGGGTCAACATAAGAAGGCGCTGGAATTGTTGGAGAAGCACGCAAAAGAAAACGATTCTAGTCTAAAAGGCACCGAACGTACCATACAGTATTTGCAACATCTCGGCAAGGATCACATGGATTTGATCCTGAAGTTTGCTGGATGGGTTTTAACGGAGGATCCTGAACAAGGTCTCAGGATATTCATGGAAGACATTCAGGTCGCATATCGTCGTTCTATCCATTTGATTATTATTAATTAACATTATTCACGTTTCCCGTCTATTTGTAGGAAGTTGAGCATTTACCCAGACCAAAAATACTAGATTTCCTTCTACGGTGTCACAAGGATTTGGTGATACAGTATCTCGAGCACGTGGTACACGTTTGGGAAGACAGCAATCCATTGTTTCACAATGTTTTAATACACCAGTACAAGGAAAAGTGTCTGGCTTCCATGGATGCGAATGCGACGCCGGCGGAAAAGGAAGCGTCGCAGCACATTCGACAGAAGTTGCAACAATTCCTGGAAAAGTCGACGTACTATACGCCAGAAACAATACTTGTACACTTCCCGTTCGATAGCTTGTTCGAGGAACGCGCAATTATACTTGGACGGCTTGGTCGCCACCAGCAGGCTATATCAATATACATTAGCCTCTTAAACGACATACCACGTGCAATACAATATTGTCATAATGTATACACAAGGTACCAGAGTAAGTATTGGTCTTGAAACGATTACATTAAATAATTCGATTACACATGTCCAAAAGAAGTGAGGCATGATTATCAATTAGAAATTGTGCTTCAAGATCAAAATCGTGCGGAGAAACAGAAGCAAACCGATAACGCCGATGAAGTCTACGTTCTGCTAATTCAGCAACTATTGAAACCTGATAATGAAGGTGTTTTAATGGCCGGTAAATAATGACTATACAATTTGCACGTTTCTACAGTGCGACGTTGCACACAATGTTGTCTGTCTCACACTGGACGATTTCTACACATTTATTTTCGTCAAGGTTGTCACACGGAAATGCAGAGAACAGCACAGCCGGATCTAGAGATGGCTCTCCAATTGCTGGAGGAACACGCCTCTGAAATAAATCCAATGAAAGCCTTGGAAGTATTGCCGGATTCCGTGCCTATCGGTAGGATAAGACGTTTTTTGGAGGTTAGCCTGCAGAACAACTTGAACACCAGACGAAGAATGCAGGTTCTCAAGGGGTTACTTTACGCGGAGCATTTGCAAGTGCAAGAACAACGGATGCACTATGAATCGCAAAACGTCCTCATGACGGAGTTTAATATATGTCCAGTTTGTAAAAAACGATTCGGCAATCAGAGGTTTGTGTGAAGGCTCGTACGTTACGAAGTGCTTATCATAAATTATTTTTAATGCATACACTAATCAGCTCTATCTTTTCAGCGCTTTCGCGCGGTATCCCAATGGCGACATAGTGCATTACTCTTGTCAAGATCGTAAAGGATAAAAACGAAACTATGTAACAATAATACCCATCTCATATATATGACTCGTCGGAAGCTGTAAATATTAAATACATATGCATTTTACGTACACGAATTTCCCAAATCCTATTGTGCGTATTATATATATATTACGCAAACTTCAAGAATTATTCCTCCAAGCAAAGCTACTTTCATCAAGAAGCGTTTTCATCCGAACTGTTACAGTTTATCTCCTTTTTTCATAGTAAATTTTTGTTATAAAAAGTGCAAATAAATACTTGAGAACGAATTCGTTTATTGTTTGTATCGGTTCACGTCGGGAACTCTACTATGATTTCTAAAGCATTGGTATTTTTTTAGAAAATAATTATCTCGAAAGTTCGAATGAATCAATGACATGTGTACGATTCGTATTTGAGAAGTAAATTCTCGGAATTATACGAATCAACAGTTTTGCGAAGTAACGGAAATTTGCGTCGCGATATTTCAAAAATGCATGTAGATTTTGAAGAGGTCCGTGTTGTAAACACAAACTTTATTTACCGACAGGTTATGGTATACGGGAGCAGAGAGGAAGAGAGCGCGAGCTTCGATGTAAATAATCTTTCGAAGCGACTTAATTCGATGTCTTTCGCGACCTGCCGTTTGATTGATAAGAAGGTTCTGTTATTTTGCACGCAAAATATTTGTCCGCCGCAATTACATTGTTAAAACAATCTTGCTACGTGATCTTAACCTAATAACTGCTTCGTAAACGTCTTGTGTATCTCTAAATAAATTAAGGTGAGTAATAGTTGCTCTTGAAATATTGATAGTCATTCCTGAGCGTAAACCATTTCTAGATATAATGATTATGTCGAAAAATACGAATAAACAACTTATCAACATTTTGTTTACGTTGTTCGGACAAAGTAAATTGAATTTCTAAATACGATGTTTTGAGTATCGCGCTTTTATACTAATCTGTTATTATCTACTAGAATTTGCAAATAATGGAGCGTTGTCACAATTGCGGTGAACATAAGAATGTAGAATTGGGTTTCTGTTGCACTTTATATGAAAAAATAGACATTGCTAGAGTACAATGTCTAAATGAATGCGTAGAAGGTACTGGTGCGACAGTTTTCAAACGATGGGAAGAAAGATTAGACAGAACCAAGGTACTTGCAAGATTTCTTTCTCATAGATCTTTAATGGATTTCATAAAAATTCCTTATAAAGTTTCATCTTTTATTCTATTTGATTTTAGTTTGTGGAAAGTGATATAGATCCTGAGCTTTTATTCAATATACCGTAAGTATATGTTATGTTATATTGAAAATGACTTTGCATAATAATATCCTTCAATCTTTTACAGTTTCACAGGTAATGTGAAGTTGAAGAGCATTATTGTAATTGCAGATGAAGAGTCACAACCTAATACGGTAAGACTGTGAGTATAGTCAAAACATTTCTAAAGAAAATAACAAGCATCAATATTTGAGGAACAAAGTAGTGTAATCTTTTATTTATGAAGTCATGTTTCTCGATAGATTTAAAAATCGGCCGAATATGGCATTTGACAATGTGAATTCTCCAGATCAGGAATTTCACCTACATATGGACCCACATGGTTTAGACGAGTATCCCGTGAAGTATGTTCACATATATATTCTATTATATGATACATACATAAGTTAATAAAATTCCTATTGCTGTAACATTGCGCTAGCTACAAAAGAACGCTTATAGAAGATATTACAATACATATAGGACTTAGACATTACAAATATTATTACAGGACTGTCAAGTTTTCATCGATACATCACTTGAGCCTTCACTTTAGTGGTGTTGGAGAACAAATTAGGATTTATTATATTGGTTTGAGAGGAGAATGGACTCCACCTCAGAATCACGGGGTGACCATTTGTACATACGAAACACGTCCTTTAATTACTGATCATGTAGGAGACTTTAGTACAGTTTCCAACACACATATTAAATAGCTCCATTAAAATCTGCCTTTAATACCTTGGTATTAAACACGAACAGATACTGAGCATGCAAGAGACAATATGGTGTATTATATTTTATGAACGTTTTTACAAGACAATTATGAAGTGTTGTAATTGAAGTCCTGTAATAAAAGTCTGGTAACAGTTTTATTTCAATTACATTTACATATATAGTAGTCTTTTATTGGAATTACATCCTATGATTATGGTAAGATCTTTACTTACTTAACAGATATATTGTACATATTTTCATCACATTACCTTTAGCAAACTTTGCTGTGTTGCATGGTACATGACTGGATATATTAATTTCCAAGAATGTAATGAAATTATGCTCTACTTATTAAAATTAATTTTGCCTACGTCCCGTTCTGTAAACTGCATTTCTAAATGGAAATCGATTATTTGAAATAACTCTGGCGGTTGCGGTATCCTACCAGTTTCAAGCTTTGACCATACAGGAACATCTGAAATGTGCCTCAGTGAAAACAATGACTCAACATTCAATCCAATGAATTGACAATGAGATAGAAACTCTACATACCATTAAAATGTATTTCAAATGCACCTGATGAGATAAGCTGCCCCTCTATAGCGTTGCAGATCAGGAAAATCAATACACAGGAGTAAAAACGATTCTCTATACACCATTGCCATACAGATGGTGCAACGCGACCAAAATCGATCCCACTTACAATTAGGACGATAATCAGTATTTTCAATGTTCCCTGAACACAAAGTTGTATGAGCATTAGATAAATATCGGTTAATACTAAGTGTAGGACCTGGTATCAGCTCAGCTTAGGTGTAATTACCAGTATTCTTGCAATTAACATATTATAGCCCGGCGGATGGAAATTCTCCCCTTCGATCTGAAGCTCTGGATATTTTTGCTTAAGAATGCTTACATATTGTTCAAAAACTTTCCTGTAACCGCATGAGTAGCTGCAAAGAGAAGACGCATATTTAACGAGTAATGCAACGATAACGTCGAAATCCACGAGTTTCATGAGGCACATTCTCACAAAGAATAGCCTTCTGCGTCTCGTTAGAAAGGCCTATATTATGGCGTGGCCACAGACAACCGTTACATATCTATTATCTTATAGGCCAAAGAACGTGAGTCTGTGGCTGCGGCCGCAAAGTTTATTCGTGCGAATCAACAAGCGGGTCGTTAATCTTACCAATAAAAGAATCTTAATGTCGGCCCCGTCTTCCCGCCGAGTTTTGTCAACGGTGCTTCGTCATTGTTCGCCTCTATACTATGCAACAACAAAATCGCGAGGACGCACAGACGTATTAGACAGCGCATATTTATTCTAATTCATCGGAAAAACTCTACACACACTCACGCGATAACTAAATGCACCGGATCACTGCATGCTATCTACTTTGCGTACTCTTTCTCTCATTCGTTATCTCTCTTTTCGTTACTCTCTTCCTCTCTCTCTCTATACTATAGCGATCTATCGAATACAGTATTATCGATACAGTAGTATCGAATGTCGATACTATTCGCGAACTAATTACTCCAATTGCTCTTCGCAAAATGAGCGAATGAGCTGTCGGGTATAATTAATAAATAAATGTCATCTTAATAAGTCGTGTGTGAAGTACATATTACGAAAGAAAGAGGTTCTCATCTCGATAGGAGCCGCGTATACGCATGTCGAGATGAGAAACGCATGTGAAATGTCATTGGCTAATTTTACTAGCGTATAAGGTTGTTCAACGTCTGCTTTTTATAGCTGCACTGTCTACACTTATAATTTGACATATGGCGGAAAAGAGAAAAAATAAAAAGATTACAAAGCAATTTACAGTGCAGCTGTAAAAATTCAGTCCAAAGAAGTGGTGCATTTTTTGTTACGTCACTCGTATTAAACGAGAGACAATATTTCATCCATTTTTTATCTTTCGCTTCGAAGATCTCAGATTTTTTTCTGCAATAAACTGGCTCTTTTGATAATGGATATATGGGAGAATGACGTGCAAATTTTTGAGGAACTATAGCTGTCACGTGATTGCACCTGCCATGATACTGTCACTAGAGTGCGTTCTAAAACGTCACCTGACTGCTCTCCCTCTCTTTTTAGACCTGTTCTTTGTAGCTGCACTGCTGAACTGGTGCAATATATTGAAGTGAAACAAATATAAGTTTTCTCACTCTAACTTATTGCACTAGTTCAGCAGTGCAGCTATAAAGAACAGGCCTTTTATGTCACTCTCGTATCTCTCTCATTCCAACGCAGCAGGTGCACTTGGATGATGTTTCCGAACACACCCTTGACGACGTGTCGTGTGCTTAGTTGATATGGCTGTTTTTTTGACATTTGTATACGGTATAGGTTATGTGCTATTCGTAAATTTTAGGACCTGAATCCACGATGAGCGAGAAAAACATTAATTCTGCTTTAGTGCGGAGGGTCAATAAATTATTGGAATCGAGGGTAGAACATGATAAGGTTCGTCGTAAAGAAATCGCTCACATGCAAGTTTTATTTTGCGGACAACTCGACAATTTCGACTTAAATAACTATGATATTAATTGTGTATTGATTACATAATTGTTATATATATAATAATAATTGTTATATATATAATAATAGATGTTTATATATATATATAGTATGTCTAATTCCATATAATACATTCCAGGATACATTGGAAGCTCTGAAGGAATTGTCAACGTTCTTCACTGAAAATACATTAAATTCTCGTCGTAATTTACGTAGTAAGATAGAAAGGAGAAGTTTAGCGATAAATGAAGATTTTCTGGTTGCTTTTAAGGAGGTGAAGGCTTCTTTGGATGATGTTTATCAAGATGTTCTAGCCATGAACACAGCGGTACAGTCTATGACCAATCGCTTACAAGTTACAAAAGCTCAAACATCCCAACTCATAGAACACACAGGAAAACTTCAGAATGAAAAGTAAGAAAAAGCTTGTATACAGTGAACATATAGTTGCAATATGAAATGTCTTATTATTTACTTTTACTGCCAGTCAAATGTTATCCATGCAACAGGAAGTTGCAAGTGCATTTATTAAGAACTTTCATCTAACTTCTTCCGAATTGGCTGTTTTGCATGGGTCGGCTAGAGAGTCTCCTATAACAGAGGAATTTTTCTCTGTAGTTAATAAAGTGCAGGTAAAATATTGAAAGTTATTTTACTTATATAACTATATCTCTGCTGCTATACAATTTTGTTGGCAATGCAGGATATTCATAGTAAATGTAGAGTGCTGATGCAGTCTGGATATCAGACATTGGCTTTGGATATAATGCAAAGAATGACACTGTTGCAAGAAGCTGCACTGGAGAGACTGTACCGATGGACACAGACCCAATGCAAGAACATAGAAAACGAACGTTTGGCACCATTACTTATTAAGGCTATGAGTAAATTGCAGGATAGGCCAGTGTTATTTAAGTAAGATTCTTGACATTTTATCACAAACTTGTAAATTTTGTCATATAATTATTTTTTTTGTAATTGATATATATATATATATATATATATATATATATATATATATATACATACATACATACATACATACATACATACATACATACATACATACATACATATTTTTTTTCTTTCAGATATATTTTAGATGAATATTGTGCAGCCAGGAGAACTGCTCTAGTAGGATCTTTTATAGACGCGTTAACATTGGGAGAAGGTTTCGGTGGAACCCCCAATCCTATAGAGATGCATGCCAATGATCCCAAGCGATACGTTGGCGATATGCTCGCGTGGTTGCATCAAGCGATTCCCGTAGAGAAGGAGAACATCCTCACTTTAGTAAAAAGCTGTGACAAGACTGGTGAGAAGTTAAATTAACAGAAAGCGTCATGTTGGAACATTCAAATGTATTAATTTCTCTTAGATGTGTCGGACCAAGTTAAGCAGGCGTTGAGTAACATCACCGAGAGTTTATGCCATCCCTTGAAGTCACGAATAGAACACGTAATATCCACAGAAGCGCCAGCAACAGTATTGTACTCCGTCACAACTCTGATTCGATTTTACCGTGCTATCATCGAACAAGTGATACCCGACAGTGTCCTAGATCTTACTCTCTCAGATTTGCTGGCTCAGAGTGAAAAGAGTTTTCTGAGCAGACTCCAAAGAGAAACGAGGATTGCTCTCGGCGAGCGCGCGGAGCCTCCGGGAAATGACTTGGTACCTGCTCCATCTGTCTCAAGATTACTGTCGCTTCTAAACGAGATATTGTCTGTAGCTAGCATCGCCGAAGATAGAGAGAAGGATATGCTGCAAGTATGTTTAACATTTTTCTATATTTAGTAATTTATTTCATTGTGTGCAATTTTTATCTGTTTCTACATTAACTATCTCATTTTCTGTTTTTCGACAGATCGTGTCGTGCATCATTGATCCGTTACTCCAAGAAGTCAACGAGACGGCGGCCAGGTTACCAACAGTGGACATGGCCGTCTATCTCCTTAATTGCATGCATCAAATACAATCAACTCTGGCGTTGTACGAATACATGGACCAGAGATTAGAAAGGTTACAGGTGATTGGTTAGTTTTTATCTAAACAATAGAGTCGAATTTGATCTTGATATACTGATATTGTTTTCATCGTTTTGCATTTATGTTCTTTGGCGTCTGCTTAGAAATTCTTCGTCATCGATTGTTGTAATCGACTGTTACGATTTTTCAGGCACAATCGGACGCGCAAATCGACACACTTACGTCAGAACAAGCTAGTTCCTTGGTGGCGCACTTGAATTTGGGCTCGATTTATACCATCTTACAAGGACGTGAGCAGGGACCACTGTCATCCATACCCGGTATGGACGCTCTTAGCGTGAAGGAATTCACTGTAAGTGACTCGCACGTTTCGATTCGTGACATGTAATAATTGCTCGCAGACATTAACGTGTCGTTTCTTTGTAGAACAAACTGGAGGCATTCCTAGTGATGCCGGATGTTCTGCTATTGCCACAGATTAGCTTACTGCAGAGTAACAATCATCGTTTAGTTACTCAGAGAAGATCGTTCGAAGTGATTGGAGCCATATATAGGCAGTTGTATGACGCTTGTCACGATCCGAAGAACTTGTATCAAAACGCCGGCAGTCTCTTTTCCAGAACGCCCGAGGAACTGCTGAATATGCTGATTTCGGAATAATCTCATGTTCCACGGACTTCCATAAGCATCATATATTATGAATATATATGTACATAATTAAATAATATAACAATCATAGGACTATATAAACATATAGTTAGTACCATAGGCTAATGCCTATGAGTAGGATCCGTTAGACACCCCAAAGCATTCTAGCTACATAGTCGCATCATTAATCCTGCATATAAAAGATACAGAGCGTTTACTGGATTACACCTTAAAGGTACGAAATATTGCGCAGTAATTCCAACCAAATTGCTTTTACGTGGGCAGTAACTTTTCGAGTCAAATCCTTTATTTTCGCAGAGAAGAACTTTCCGTTGGGAAATTTCGACAAAACAAGTTCAAATTTATACACCTCGTGCCGCCGATGAGCCCGATTGGCGCGTGATTCACGAGCGCAAGCGAATGGCTAGGACGAAGAGCTCGGAGATTGGTCGCGCGCCGTGACGTCACGGGCGACGCGGACTTGTGCGCACGCACCTTGCGCAGCGATTGGCCCGGCCTGAAGTCAGTCGACAGTCCGGTGCGGTGGAATGTGGTCGCGTTCGCATTTTGTTTGGCGAGCGCCGCGCATCTTTCATTCATCCACCTGTGTGGTAGTGCGCGACGGCTCGATTGTCGGCTGCGGCGGTGGCGGTAGCGGCCTCGTCGCCCCAACGTCGTCCCCGTAGACGACGGAAGATCGCTTTAATCCGGCCGGGACGGAACTCTCGGGCGCGAAGCGAAGCGAGGTGAGGCGAGACGACGCGACGCGCGTTTGGACATCGTTTCCTCGGCACGCGCGAAATGCCGCGGCGCCGTACGGCGACGAGCACGGCGCCGACGCGAGCCACGCAGTGAAATATAATTCCGGCGCGCGATCCAACGCACCATGGACCACCACCTCTCTCCTGTCGGCCACGACGCGCACAAAGGACGGATAGAAAGCAGTGAGTGAGTGAGTGGAAGCAGCGTATACGAGAGTGCGGGAGCAAGATGGCGGAATCGAGCTATTATCAGGTGAGTCTCGCCATCATCATCCATCCATCGTGAGAGGCGGCTATACGCTCTCTTTACGAACTGGCGCTCGGCGTCGCATCGCAACGAACGTGGGTCTCTGTCGGGCGCCATAATATCGCGCATCTCTCCCGGTAGACGCGACGCGACGCGACGGAAACGTCGTCCCTGAACGTTCCCACCTTTCCGCCTCCGTCCTTCTTTCTCTTTCGCTCGCTCGCTGTTCGTTCACTCACTCACTCAGTCGCTTGTTCTTTCGTACGTTCGTTCGTTCGTTCGTCCGTCCGTCCGTCCGTCCGTCCGTCCGTCCGTTCACGGCGCACATGTACTTGTACCCCGGGGCCCAACAGCAGGCTCTTTTTCCGTCGGAGCACGACAACGCGGTTTTCGTGGATCACGACGAGCATGCGACGAGCGAGTGAGTTAAACCAGCCGTGACGGGTCGTGCACACCTGATATGCATCCGATTTCTTACTTCTACCTACCTGCACGCATCGGTCCCACTCTTCCACCCTGCGCCTCGATGACCGACCGTCTGGGTTAATTGACTCCGCTCGGCGACTTGTCTCCTTCTTCCGCACACTACGTCACCGTTTGCTGCACAGAGTATATAGAGAAAACGCACTCGACGATAGTTAACCGGCTGATACGATGAGCACTCAGTCGCACTGACCATACTGCTTAATTGACTCCGCTTAGCGGTACGCTGTCCCTTAGATTACGGCTCCGACTCGCACGATGTCGACGAAAAAGAAAGAGAGACAAAGAGATAGAGGCAAAGTATTAACGAGACACGGCGTTTCCTCGATTCCCATGTCTGACTTTGTAATTTCGTGTGCCGGTGAAATTTTGAGAAAATCAACTCCTCGCCTCACCGCGGCAGAAAGAGCGAACTCCTCGTCGCCGGATCGCCGCGCAGGTAAACACCTCTGCGCGGCGGCCCCGCGGCGACGAGACTCGTCGAAACGATACCGGTTTCACTCCCGGTGTTGTTGTCGTTTTACGAAGCCCGGCGTTAATCGGCGTCGGTGTAACCGGTCTCAGGCTGACTTTCCGCCGCTCGGTTCTGGACGTCGGATCCCGGTAACACCTGCCTGCTGCCCCCCGACCGGCGATTATCGGCGAAACGCGATGGGAGATCCGTCCGGGGCGCGATCGCCGCCGCGTAAAGTGGATCGACGAGATCGCCGTGTGTCGCGGGTTAGAGTCCGCTGGCGATACGTCACCGTACGATGACGGAGACCGCCGTGGTATCGGCAGCTGACACTGCATCGCGTCCCTTCCCCGTCGAACTTTCGCGTTTCCGTGAAGCCTATTTACGGTAAAGATGTTCGATCGCAAACTCACGCGCGCGTGTCTCGCGAAGTATCGTCGGTCTCGTCAGGTCCTTCCCCCCCCCGGTATACTTTTCATTACCTCAGACTGACAGGATTCGATTGACATTAGGTCTGTTCTTTTTGCTGAACTGTCTGAACTGGTGCACATTATACAATAACTCAGTAAGACAAAATATATTTGTCTCACTTTAACTTATTGTACCAGTTCAGACAATACAACTGAAGAAAACCCATTTTATCGATGTGACAGGTACGAGGATGTATATCGTGAACTTTCTTTAGCTTGACATACATACAAAAGAATAATTATATGGAACAAGTTTCTTTGATGAATTCCTTTGATGTCTTAAGATGTTATAAGGACTGAGATTTCCTGAGTTTTCTGTACTTTAAACTATGACTAATGTCGCGTGTAGTTCCCGAGTTATATTGCTATGAATGCCGGAATTTTACGTTAAAATATATAATATATAGAGAAATAATTATTAGAATAAATTTTTGTTAAAAATCATTTTTTAATTAAATTTTACTAGGATTAGTGATAATAACATTATATGTATGTTGCTACTATCATTTTTATATTAGAACAACCAACAAATATGATTGAAACTAAAAGTAACTAATTTTAGTCAGATTAACAATTTTTTTCTCTCAATACATATAATTACCTGTAGAAGACTTGTCTTTTTTAATTTTCGTACAATGTTTAGGTACTAAAAATAAAACGTGAAATCCCTGTTGATGTCTAAGAAATACCGAGTCGATGTTGTTCATTTTATCTATAAAAATGATTATCTATAAAAATGATTATAATCTTGGAAAGTTTGGTACCAAGGCAATAGTTTCCATGGCGTTACTGTCCCTTAAAGTACAAAAGTTGCGTAAAAGAACATTTAGTTTTTCGGATAAGTTTCTCTCTTTTATTCGATACACGTTGATTGGTTGATAACGGACGCGACAGATAAATCGACAGATAAACGCGACAGATATATCGATGTTACGTGATTTCACGAAATTCGACGTCACGATTCGTCCGCTCGCCCGGTTGGCTCTTCGGGCGGCTCTCGCATGTGCAGTAAAAACAATCTCCATCTCGGGAGCAGAGCTCGGCCACTCGACGTGTGTATGTGTGAGTCAGAGAATCGTTCATTTTTCCCTGACGCTCGTGCGTAATCGTTCGGGCGCAAAGGGTTGGCTCATGACGTCGCGACGTCTGTTGACCTCCCGGGATTATTGTGCGCCACGGCGCAAATATCACAGGATGAAAATGCATGAAAATAGATCGCGCGTCGGTGTTTGTGCATCAGCATCGTGAGCGCATGTGCATTTTCCTCGAGTCCCTCTCCTCCGCGCTCCCTCTTTCTCATCCTCACTCTCTCTCCCTCTCGCCTTCTTTCGACGCTCTGAATTAATATCTAGACATACTTTCATTCTCGGCGCGAATAGAGACGAGGACTTCTCGTCATTTTCTGCACTTCTCCGCCTGGCAACGCACATTAGCGGCGCGGATCGCATTTACGTAACTCGGCCCGAATCGTGAATGAGACGTTGCAATCTCGTACGGCGACTTTGAAACGCGTTAACGCTTCAGTGGTCACCTCGACTTATCGCACGGTAGTTCTGACTAATGCAGATAACATCGTTCACGTTTGCGAATTTCTCTTTCTCTTTTGCAACGATACTTGAACTTTACCCCTTCCGCTAGAATCAGACCCATCCGCAGCGGGATGAAAATAAAAAAAGAAATTGTGGACAAACAACCGTGCGAAAAGCGAGAGAGGTCAATCGTTATCTGCGCGACCTCTCTCCGGCTCTTGTCGCCGCAGTCGTGATAAATCTCGCCGAACGTAAATCACGATCGAGATGTGTTTTTTACGTGAATGCCTCACGAGGAACGTCTGCTTCCTCCGCGCGAATGCCGACGAGGTGGCGAACGTGACGAAGCGCTGCGCCGCTTGAGAATCACTGTTATCGGAATCGCTGATAAGAGATAAACGACATCGGCACTGTCCCTCTCCTTAGTCATTACTGACTCTTGAGTCCACGAAGAGGTGTAAGCGTCGCTCGCGGCGCACGGATCGGAGACACGGTTGCTCGCGGGATCGCACGGCGACGCGGTGCAACGTGCGCGCGGGACGCGGATCGCGAAAAGACGGCGAGAGACCTCGCGGCAGGCACGGAGGCGCGGAGACGTGGACGGACGATATCGTAGATTTTCGCCGGCAACAGGTGGCTGACGTTTACCTGCGCGCGCGCGGGATCCCGGAGATTACCACTCTGCGCCGACAGTGATTCAGGTGGTGATTAACCGCGCGTGAGTGCGCGCGTTTGGAGTCTTGTTTGCTTGTTATTCGACGTGTTGAATTTTAGCGGCGTGGCGTGTTATTAGAAACGATTATATCTCTCTCCCCGCGAGATGTAAGTCTCTCGTCGTCGTCGTTGCTGCCACGACGACGATCCAAACGGTGACCAACGACGCGCGCTTCGAGAGAAGCTTTGAGAACAACGATACCGTCGTGTGTGCGCCGCGGCTCCGTCTAGGCCGTGAAAGTCGCGCGGACACGGAAACAATGTCGTTCATCAGCGTGGGCAGAGCGGAGAAGAAGTCGACGAGCGTGTGCAAATGCGTGCCGTTGACCAAAGTGTCCAGCTCGAAGTACTTCCGGGCTTGCATCGCGCCCTTCGTGGTACGTTATCAAATCGTATTATTAATCCTCTAATCATACCTGGGTCTTTTTTCCACCTTGAGTGTCTTTCGAGAGTCCTCGGGATAGTGTCTCGTCAACGCACTTTTGTCTCTAACATTTTGACAGATTTTAGTGGCTAACGTGTTTATTACAATATGAAAGAATGAATGCCGCGAGAAAAGTGATCGCGTTTGTAGTTGTTCAAAGACGCTTGTTCAAAGACCCGAGCACGGTCAGAGGATTGAGGAAAATGAGTAATTGGCAAATTAGCATGCGTTTCTCGCGAAATCGAACTCTCGACGACGTTTTCTTTCTCGTAGTATCAAGATCGTCGTCATTCTCGCAAAGTCACGTTCTGCCTCGTGTCGAGCTCCAAATAGGTAACACCGATGTCTGTTGTAGGAGCTGATCGAACGTCTTTCGTGCATGTTTCAATACCCGACTTGCTATCATAATCGAGTCGCGACCCCCGTCGCCCTTCGCGAAATGACGGACTGTCGATGTCGGTTCATGGACTACGGTTCTGATGCTCTTCCTCGCGTCGATACCCGGGATCGATACTTTCCCCTTTGGCATGTTTTGTCTGGCGTGTCTATATCCGCGTGTATCTCTCACTCTGTCGAGCAGCACACCAGCGTCCACATCCGTGTGTGTATCCGTGTGTGCGCGCCGCGCCAGACGATTTCCGGCTGCCGAGTGTTCCGCGATGTTTCGTTGTTCTGCCTGACACCTCCTCGCCGCGTCGATATTTACGGTGCAATTTCCGCCGAGTTGTTATCTCAAGTCTGAGGCACGCCAACGCGAAGTCTCATTGCATTCATTACGCGCGGCAATCGTAGGATCGGTAAAAGTGCCAATGCTCGGACACCTAACTCTGGGCTTTCTTGATGCTTTGATTTATTCATAGGAATATTTCAACTTTTAACATGGAGTGTATATCTCCGCGTAAAATCATATTTTTTGAAACATACATTTTGAGTCGACCAGACCCGGGCGATTTTGTAACTATCATAACTTTGTTGAAAATTGATATTTTTGACACATTCTTTCCCAGAGATATGAGAGCTCTCATATCTCAGCTATCTCATATCTCATTTTATCTCAGCTATAAAATTAAAATCCGGAAACAATTTGTGTTTTGAAATTTTCCTGGAGAATTAAATATTCGTTTTTAAAACAGAATAATAAAAATGTTTAGGATTACGTGTTTAAGCATTGGAATTTTTCTTGTAATATTGAGAAATAATTCCTCGTCGAAAAAGTTTGTGATAATCGATAGTCATTCTCGCTCAGTTATCATTCCTACGAAAATGGAAAACGAGGAAAAAAGAAAGATCAAGAAAAATTAATTAAACGCAGGCGATGTACCACACTTGCGAAAGTACTCGTGTCTCGCGAAATCGAAATCTCAGTCTGTTTCGTCGTGAAGGCGAAGGAGATCAGCGCGGAGAACGAAAAAAAAAAGCAATGCAAGTTAATTGAAAGATGAGTCAATAGACCTTATCGTTCGCTCAACGCATCAACATCCTTGAATGCCACGTCACAGCCACGTCAATAACGCACTCGGTATTTGTTTCAGGGTGATCACATCAGGCACCCGGTTCTTTACGAACTGTCCAGCAAGTATGGAGTGGCCAGCAGTGACCAGGTGCCCTTGCCGGCTCGTCTCGACGTGCTTCGGGAGCATATACGCCGAGAGATACGCAAGGTATGTCGAGTTTCGCCTCGAACCTCGCCCCGACTTCTCCGAAGCTCCCTTTTTCTGCTGGCGCGTGTACATACACGCGGTAGCTGGTCTTTTTCTCTCTATCCTCTTGCTCTTCCTCTCTCCCTCTGCCCTTGCCTGCCTTTCTCCCTGTTGCACCTCGGACCGCTCTCTTCCCCGTTTCTCTTCAGTGATATAATCACGATGTAATACTCATTATTTGTATGTGTTTGCGAAAGTTAATCCCGCCACTTGAACGCTCTCGTCCTCGACGTCTCTTTTCATCGCCGTTCGAGTCAACAAAGGTTGTTAATAGATGTCTGTCTTTAGTGAGGGACGGAGGGGTCAGGGTGCATATCCGCGCGAGATTAATTCAGCCCGACTTCACAATCATAATCGATGGGAACGCAAAACCCGCGACTCGTTGACGTCCATGATATTCGCGAGAGAACGCGTCTGTGGGAAAGTGGCGGAGATTAAGTTTTTCGCCTTTTGACGTCCACCTCCGCACCCTTGCCGTCCGTGCGAATGTGCAATAAGCGATCGATGATCTACGGTTTCCGGATGCGCCGGCCGTGCGTTCTATATCACGCCGCGAATGGGAAGTCGAGGGTGGTCCGCGAACATTTCTGCGACTCGCGACTAGAAACGAGTTTCGCGTCCGCCGTCGTGATCTTTCCTTCTCTCGTTCTCGCTCTCTTCCTCTCTGTCTCTTTTTTCTCTCTCCTTTTGCTCCATCTCGGTACTCATTCTACGAGCCTTTACGAGACACTCTCACGCCGCCTAACCGGTGCCCACCGTTAATAGATCCACCGTGAAGTGGAGTCATGTGTAATACTGTAACACGATGGGTTTCTTAAGTCGGCACATTTTCATAAACGATCGCATTACAGGCCGTAGTAACCGTCGCAAACGGCAGCATCGCGCGTTGTTGCAGTTCCTTCGGCTCACATAAACGGCGCACACACATGTACAATGTCGGAAATTGATCTCGGACATGTGTGTGTGTGCGTGTCGTGATTTTCTTTCTCTTTACATAAGAAGCACCTCGCCCTAAATAATTGTTTTCATTCGACGCAACACACCGCCGGTATGTTCGCGCGGCCGGCGCGTTCCAGTTTAGACGATGGAAATACTATCGGCTGACTCACACCGTGAAAATTCGCGGTAACTGCGCGTGTACACCCGCTGATAAAATCGAAGGATACGTCGAAGGGTATTATTGGGCACGTGTGTAATTTTACGTCTCATTTGCCACGCGAAGGAGCGGCATCGTGCGATGGATGCGCCTACGAGCGAGCGACAGGTCGACCGTGATAAATGCTCCGTGATTAAATTCCCGCGGAATACGAGTCTGAGTATAATAATAAATTATCGGCAGTAATCAATTGCCCGCGAGTCCCGCGAGGCCGAGAGGATGGCGTCACGCGTCCGACTTGACGTCGTCACATTCGCGAATTTCTCGTCTCCCTTGCTCCTCAGATCTTTCATTCTTTTTTTTCCACTTTGTCGCAGGAGCTGAAGATAAAGGCCGGCGCGGAGAAGCTGAGGGAGGTCGCGACCGATCGCAAGTCCCTCTCCGACGTCGCGACGATCGTGAAAAAGGCCAACAGCAAGCTGAACGAACTGCAAGCCGAGCTCCAGCAGCTCGAGAGTCAAATTATACTGACGCAGGGCCAGCCTCAATCGCCGCAGCAGAATCACTCCAACGGTCAAGGTAAGGCGAAGCCACGCGTGGCTCAGATATCATCTTCGCGTTTGCCCCGTAGCGTTGACCGAGCGCGAAACAAACAGTCGTCTGGTTTTTAAACGGTCTGGTTTTTGTGCGACGTAGCGTCGCGTTAAGTCGAGCGACGTCAAATTGATCGACATCGTCGTTTGCGGTCTCGGTATCGCGGACAGTCGCGACAAATCCGAATATCACGCGGCCTGTAAATCAAGCCGGTCTTCGTAAAATTCGCATCACACTTGGTATTGGAGATCGAAGATCACGGATTGAAGATTGGAGCTTAACTTTAGTAAGCTTAACTTTAAGTCCTTAAGTAGGACCAGCAGAGCCCAAATCCAAATCTATTGCCTTGTCACACATTCTAATCCCTAATCCGCAATTCTCAATCTCCAATACCGAGTCTGGCATCCTATTCAGGGCGCACAACATACGTTAAATATATCCTTTTAATTCCAAGTGCCGTTTTTCACATACTATCGTCACGTATGGCGTTGTTTCTTGAGAATCAGAAATCGATGTTCATACTGATATTAATAGTCGTTGCTTGAAACTGCATTTAAAATACTCTGATCTGAATTCAAAGTTAGATCAGAGCTCTTCGTTTGAATTGTATAATATACGCGGACATTGCATTGGTAATCGCGATTCAGCTAAGAAACTCCCATCTAACTTTACATTCAGATTTGAATGTCTCACATGAGACAAGTCTCAAGTGACAACTGTTAATTAATACGAGTCCTCAGTGTTCGATATGTGTCCGCAGTAGGACCCCTGCTGATACAGACTTTAGCAGAGTGGAAAATTGCAGAAACGATTAAAACGTGCTTTGCACGGGCACGTACGTGCATATCCGGTGATCATAGCGCAATTGGCAGGCGTCGTACGCCGAAGAATTCTATCCAATTTCAGGAAAGCGTTCACCGATACCCGAGCGAAGGAAAAAAAAGATCTCGAGGCGGCTCGCTCTCGCGGCAATTATCGCCGCGGCTTTACTCATAGATTACATATCGATACACCGCGGTAATAGCTAATGTTCCGGCACGCAGCTCCCTACCGCGCTAACGATCGTTCTGCGTTGTTAACGAGGAGGCACTTAATAACCCCACCCGCTAACGAGGCGTCGAGACGACGTCTTTGGTTTTATAAAGCTCGTTCGAGCATACCGAGCTGCCGTCGCCGATGTCGTCGCCATCGTCACCGCCGTTGCGTCTCCCGTCGCCATTAGCATTGACAAATCGAGCGTATCTCGTGGTCGTCGGAGTCTCTGACTCATCGATCGATATATCGCGCCCGCGATACGTTAGATACGAACCCAAATACTTGGCGGTGCAAAGAAGGAACGATCAATGGGATAAATATAGCGGATTGCGTATTAATACCGTTCATTATCGATCGATCGGTCGACGCGACCGAGCAATGCGTGGCATGAGTTAATAACGCCCCGATGTCAAAGTAAACGTCGTCGCTCATCTTTGACGTTTCACGCGTCGAGGGGTGGAGCGACCCTTGCAGAAACGCCCTGTGTGTAAGATCCCTTTCGGGATGAAAATAGCCCTCGAAATTGATCGCTCCATTGATACTCACGTCGCGTCTATCCGTAGATAGTTTATCGCGCGAAAAATGAAGATAAAAGAGAAACATGCAGAAATACTCGACTCGGTGCGATTTTATCTAGCTCGACACGCACGGCTTAAAGCGACACTCAATCGCACGCGGTCGCCGGTTTCTCGACGAGTGACAAAGGGACGGCAATTATCGTCTGCGGGATCCGCGTCTGCTGCGTGCCTGCATGATTCCCTTGCCTCAAAATGTCCTCCCTCTCCCCCCTCTTATAAATTAGAGACGATTAACGAAATTCTTTGTAATCAGGAGGTCGTGACCCCGTCGCCTTGTCGCGATGTCGCGTTTCGCACTGAATTATCGCGACGCAAAATCGACCGAGAGTGTTACTCTTCATCTTTGACGTTTCGTCGCGTCGACATAAGAGATACCTCAGATACTCGAGGCTGCTCGAAGACTCGCTTGAGAGAGAGAGAGGGGGGGGGAGAGAGAAAGAGAGAGATTGCGGTTGCGCGTCGGTTGTCGCGGTCATTCCTTAATGGGCGTGCTTCCACGCGGTCATCTCATACGTCATCAATTGGCTAATCTAGCGTGTTGCTCTCGAAGGAAAAACTCATATCTCTCTTTCTCTCTCTGTTTCTTGAACGAGCGTTTTTTCACTGCGTTAGTGTCGAGTAACTCGTCATCTTGGCTGCTCGATGCGTCAGCTTCTGTACGTACGAACAAACTATACAGACATGCGCTCGCTTTGAATTGACGGTAAGTGGCAGCGGCTATTTATACCGTGGGCCCCGACGATCTATCCGCTCCTCCAGTTAAGTCAGTCATCGTCGTACGGTCTTCAGGTTCTCTAGTGAGCCGCCTCGGGGGTGGTGTCTCATTCGTACATGGCATACGGGACGCGGACGTCACGCAACCCTGAAGTCACTGTCGCCCTACCAGGCGCGACGTTTTGCGCCGTCATATTCGTAGATCATTAGCAATCGTGAACGTTCTTCGTCCTAGGAGACGAGCCCTCCCGATCACGAAACCTCTAATGTGAACCGCGTGAAAAATTTGATTGAATTTTTGCAATGGAATTTTTCACTTTTCACGAACTCACCCAAGGGAAAAAGTACACGATCGATGCCTTGGGTGAGATCGCCGATCGTTACCGCGCGCGCAGCACGAGAGAGCCGATTTTCGCGTTCACCCGAAACGATCCGGATCGAGAGAAAGTACCGGCGCGCGCTTCTCTTTCCTTCCTCGGGATCTCTCTCGAGGATGGCGAAGAGATGCAAGCCGCAGACACCGACTCTACTACCACGCTCGTTCACTTTCCAGTTCTGCCGAGAGATGCGAGATGACGCGAGTCGTATATAATAACGCGCACAACGGCGAAAATGCTCTTTCGTGCGTGTGCGTGCATCGAGAAACGCACACACATCCATGTAGACTTGCGCGACGTGCGAGACGATCAAGACGATCGAGAGCGCGCGTTACGAGAGAAGAGAGGCGATCGGATCGAGCGATCGCTCCTTCGTTCGTTCGTTCGTTCACGGCGGTACCGTTACACGTGCGTACGTAGCCCCTGAGCCCGCTCCCCCAGCCTCTCGACCATCTCGCCTCTCCTCGTGGATCGAGATCGCGTTACGACCTGGACCGAACCGAACCCACGATTTCGCATTCCATCGCCGGCACTCTCGGGGGAAACCCTCCCGATCTTCCTCCCCCTTTCCTCTCTCTCTCTCTCTCTCTCTCTCTCTCTCGCTCCTGCTGCTCGACCGCCCGGATCTCCGCGGACTACCTGTCCGGACCCTCTCGGACCCGATTTAAGATCCCGCGATGCGGACACGTAGTCGCTCGTCGGAGAACGAACTTTCGGGTACCTCGATGATGCGGAGAGATTTCCTCTTGGGATGGGATGTTTTACGATGAGGATTTTTCGAGGATCCAAAAATACGCCGAGGTCGAGCCGTGAATTGTGCTCTTTGATCGTTGAAGTACTGCACGTGGCATGTGCGATTTTGGAAACTTCCGCGCAAAAGAAATCGGTGACGACTTGGACGTTGATCCTCTTCTTTTTTTTTTGTCTGAGATACGAATCCGCACGTGTGTGTCGAGAACAAAACGAGTTGACGCAATTCGCCGTGGGGACGGAGTCGCTCGTGTTCGTTTTGGAGATCATTTGTTGCCTGTACTCGCCGCGCTGTTATCTCGCGCAGTTCGCTCGGATTATCGCGAAAATCCTGCCGCGCGGGGAAACTCCCGAGATGAATCACACACACATACATTCACACACACACACACACACACACACACACACACACACACACACACACGCGCGGTTTGGTGCGATACGTTCGTAAAATTTTGCTAGATTTTGTAAGCCGGATCGATCGTGCGCGGGTTTTATTGTCCGCGCGTGATACCGTATGAATTTATGAAGTGCAGTTTATCGAACGAGCGACCGCGTTCGTAACATAGTAACGGTACCGCCCGGGCATTTACGAGTTAATAAATTTTAAGTGGCCACGTATAGTTCGTAACTAAATAAGTCACTCGGGCCATTGGCGTTCAAGCGCCGAGAACACTGTCGCCGCAGACGTATGACCTAACCGAACGCTTTTGCAATGTTCGCAATTGAAATACCGGCAGTTCGCGAGAGACAACATTTCTGTTTATAGTCGTTCGTATACTGGATGACGTAACAATGACGCGATAATCGATCAGCTCGATGTATACGCATGCACTCTCTAAATTTCTAGGAGTGAGATATCACTCTAAACGAATTCGTTCGAAGCAATAGCGAATATACTGTTACTCACTTGTGATCGCACTGCGAATCAGCAATGAATGCTTAACCTGAATCTATATATGGAAAAAATATTGTAGTAAAAATTATACGACAAAATTTGTGTAATCTTTGAATTGGGAATTATTAATTTTGAAATAGAATTATGATCGAAAATATTGTACATTTATTTAAAAATGTTATAAATGTTTGATATTCTACTGAAAAATTAATAAAAAATTAAATTAAATGTTTTTTTACATTCAAGCAATTATAATATTAAGTGGATTGTCAAATTTATTACATATATAATAATTTGTACTACAATTTCAATATAGTCTAGCTTTATGAAAAACATAGTAAAATGAATTTTAACGTAATTTTCACTACAATATTTTCTGCATGTATACAATGAATTCTTAATTCTTTACATTCGTAATTATTTTGGCCCAGTATATTAATCAGTTCGCAATCAATTTTTCAACCTGCTCTTTATGCAGAATATAAGAAAGAAATGCATATAAATTTTTGGTTTTGTAAGTTTGCAACTTTTTAGATTTTGTAAGATCTTGTCTCGATTTCTTCTATGTGTTTCTTAATTATATGATCTTCAGAAAGTAAATAAGACAATTAACGTTCTCTTAGTTGCTAAAAC